GCGTAACTTAAAAATCATACTTTTGGGAATAAAACAAATTGCTTATAAATACATATGACATGGAGAACACATTATAGTTTTTATCGATATCTTTTTAGGAAGTCTTTTTAGAAAAATAGTTGACTTAGGCAGATATTTCTTGTAACCACATATATGTATATATATGTGGATACATACACAGTTAACCACTAAAATAGTGTACTATTCGAATGTATTTTCTACTGGCACTCAAAAATATCATCGTATAAATTTACATAAAAGAAGAAGCTAAGGTAATAGCAAATTCCCTACTTTTCGTTTCCTTTATCTTTTCCATAGGTATGGATAGATGGTGTATCTGTATTGAAATGTACTTATTACTTGATATGTGCACTTACACGTTTACATTTCAACATACACTTTCTCTATGAGGGAAAAACCAGCTGCTTACTATTATACGTACATATATTACCATAGTAATGGTACACTGGCACAATATTAGAGTGCATTATAATACGCATGAATGGTTAACAAATACCTGCACTTTTCTTCAATCATAATAATGACGATGATGATGTTGATGTTGATAATGACGTTACTCATTATACAAATTTATTTCATCAATTTCATATGATTGTTTTTTGCTGTAGTATCTAATAATATTATGTCTCATTTTGAGATTTACTCTTTAATGTTATTTAATATTTATATTGTTTTCCTCTCTTATTAGTATGAAAATATTCCCAGTCTCATAAAAACTAAGATGTTCATTTGTTTTTGTTTTGCTTTTATTTCTTAAGTTTATATAAAATATTCATCATAAGCTTGATGTGTTTAACAGGTTCATTTTTTATGTATGTATGTACTGTGTGAAATTCCTTAGAGAAATTATGGAAAATTGTCCATAAGTTTATGAAGTAAACACTCTGTGTGTAGAATGTTGGTAATTTTAAACAGACTTCAGGTTATTATGGCACCACCACTATAAAATGCACATAAATACATAAAAATGGATGCGGATATCCATACAAACACAAATAAGCAGAAGGGAAATAAGTTTATGAAAAAAATACAGAAAAATTATTAAATATAAAAAGCAAAAGGTCAAGTATGTAGTGTTTACAGTAGTGGACTGTTAGTCAGTGATAAATATTTAATTATTGTTATAGTCTGGAGTTTAAGAGCCTTTGGTTTAGTATATGTAAATTATTAGAAGGTATTTTGTTTTAAAATTGTTAAAGTTAGGTGTTATTAATTTTGAATTATATTGCAAAAATTATGATTAAATAAATTGTTAAATATTTTTGAGAAAAGGTCCTGTTCTGTTAAGTTGAAAAATTAATATTTTATTTATCGGTATTTACATGTAGGAAACAAGATCGAAACACGCTTTTTATTGGACTGTGCAGGAGATACATATTTTAATTTAGATACATTTTTGTTCAATTTTTTTTATTTCACTTTCTTTTAAACCCATTTTGCATGATTTTATGATTATACGTATGAGTGATATTTTATTTGTACATTATAATACATATTAATCATACGCATTAATGGGTATTTTGTTTTAACAAACGGAAAATTTTGATTAGCTTCTTAAAGGCAGTTTTTTGTTATTTTACTGATTTTCTATATGACATATCGGCAACAATTTCATAGTTTCAATATAGTAGTTGTATGTTAAATTAGTTTGAACATTTTGAATACTATCAATAACATAATAATGTTGTCATAAAAAATCAGTAAAATTTTTTACTGTTAATTTAAATTGAAAAATGAATGCTTTTTGTTAAATGATTTACATAAATATTTATTGAAAGTAAATTTATAATTTTTTTTACCTGAATGTATGCAAATAATAAAAATTAATTAAATGTATTACTTTTTTATGATATTTGTTTGTTTTGTTATAATTAAATAAACATTTTGCGGTTTTATTTAAGTGAAAGTGTAGTGATTTTTTTGGTATAATTTATTTAGCAATTAATAGTATACATATTTTTTAAAGCAAATAAAAAAAAAAACAAATTAATAGATAAAAAATGAATTGCAATATACAAGTATATTAATATAAATAAAATACTTTTGAGTATATAACTAATAAATGTTGATTTTAATCATTGTATTAATATTAGTAAATGAATAAAATCACATTAAAGTGTAAATTTAACTTTTTTTATAAATTAAATAATTTTTAAATAAAAATTAAAAATCTTTTTCAAATCTGCATATGTGTGAATGTGAGTATATTAAAATAAATCATGTTCTTTATTCTACAAAGGTTTAAAATTGTTATGTTTTATTTGCTGGTTCTGTTTTCATTAAACAATTTTTTTTCTGGAAATTATTATGTTATAAATTGTTTGAAAATGTTTCTATTGCTAGTTCTTGTATATGATATTTGTGTTGTATATGTGTGGTCTTGGCAAATTCAGTTCACTCCTTTCTTCAATTGCAAATACTGAAAGTAAACAACAATTTGTTGTATGCATAGAATTTGAATTGGAAAATTTTTTTTAACTAAAATTGCATGTCAACCACATAAATAAATAAAATCGTTTTGTTTGTTTTAATTTTTACTTTTTTCTGCTTTTATGTTTTTTATTTTATTTTTGTTTGTCTATTTTATAATTATATTATTTGAAGTTTTTTTCTCCATATTTCAGTTGGTCATTTTTATTTTGAAAAAAGAGAAACTATTTACATACATGTGTATTTGTTTAAAATTGGTTTTTAAATTCAAATAAAATAGTTATCTTTTTATGTTGTACCATGATTGAGTGAATAAAAATCATTTATTTTTTTTATATTTTGAAGATACAATTTAATTTAAATCCTACTTTTATATTGAATTTATACATTGAGTTAGTTCAATTTATTTGTTTGCTATTTTATATTATTCTTTTTTTTTAGAAAAAAATAAAATTTTTTAAATTGGTTAACAATTTTAATACGGATTAGTGTTTAGAGCTTTTTATGAAGGCAAAAATAACAACTTTTTGGGAATTTTGTGACATATTACTAAACAAAATTAAAAAATTATTGTTCTGTTCTAAATAGTTTCCTGCAAAATTACCACTGAACATTAATTTGAACTCTTATTCCATTTATATATTTTATACTACCTTAGTAACAATAAAAAATATTTTTAAATATTTTTTATTATTATGAGAGCATCTACATAATAATTATCGATTAAATGCAAGAGAAATTTAATTAAAACGCATTTTTAATATTTATATAAAATTTTGTATATAGTTTTAACAAAAAAACAAAATTATAAATGAAATATTACAAAGAAATTATTTTTTTAATTCATTGTTAAGCTTATAATAAAAAGAAAGAAAAAATAATGTTTCATGTTTATAAACATGTAATTTCGATAATAAAATAAAATTGTAACGACAGGCAGGTTTTTTTAATTTATATTCATTGGGGTATTTGTCAGATTTCCTGCATATTCAAAAATATTAAAAATTTTTTTAAATTTTCGGAAAATGTTTATATTTTCCTTAGTAATAAATATGAACATTTATAAAAGCCTCAAAAAGAATCTTTTTATCCAAATTATTGACGGTAGACAAAAAAATTGAGAAATGGTATCCTAACTAAATTTTCTGTTTGGGGACACCCTAAGATTTTCTATTAAACGATTAAATTTGAACATTTAAATAATGTCGTTGTCTGAACTTTTATAAACCAATGCCAAATAGGAAAGAAAAGTTAAAATAAAAATATTATTGTAATAGCAAATGTTAGATACGATTTTTTTATATTAGGGTGAAGGTTTTTTCCAAGTATGTATTTCTACCATTAGACACTATATAATTCTTCATATCTATCTATCTATCTATCTATCTATCTATCTATCTATCTATCTATCTATCTATCTATCTATCTATCTATCTATCTATCTATCTATCTATCTATCTTCTATCTATCTATCTATCTATCTCTCTATCTATCTATCTATCTATCTATCTATCTATCTATCTATCTATCTATCTATCTATCTATCTATCTATCTATCTATCTATCTATCTATCTATCTATCTATCATCATCTATCTATCTATCTATCTATCTATCTATCTATCTATCTACTATCTCTATCTATCTATCTATCTATCTATCTATCTATCTATCTATCTATCTATCTATCTATCTATCTATCTATCTATCTATCTATCTATCTATCTATCTATCTATCTATCTATCTATCTATCTATCTATCTATCTATCTATCTATCTATCTATCTATCTATCTATCTATCTATCTATCTATCTATCTATCTATCTATCTATCTATCTATCTATCTATCTATCTATCTATCTATCTATCTATCTATCTATCTATCTATCTATCTATCTATCTATCTATCTATCTATCTATCTATCTATCTATCTATCTATCTATCTATCTATCTATCTATCTATCTATCTATCTATCTATCTATCTATCTATCTATCTATCTATCTATCTATCTATCTATCTATCTATCTATCTATCTATCTATCTATCTATCTATCTATCTATCTATCTATCTATCTATCTATCTATCTATCTATCTATCTATCTATCTATCTATCTATCTATCTATCTATCTATCTATCTATCTATCCTATCTATCTATCTATCTATCTATCTATCGTATCTATCTATCTATCATTCTATCTATCTATCTATCTATCTATCTATCTATCTTATCTATATCTTCTATCTATCTATCTATCTATCTAATCTAAGTCTTATCTATCTACTATCTATCTATCTAATCTATCTATCGATCTAATTCTATCTATCTAGCTAATCCTATCTATCTATCTACTATCTATCTAGCTATCTATCTATCTATCTATCTATCTATCTATATATTTGAATACCTTAAGTATATTTATTATTCTTTTAATACTTGTCGTTTTATTAACCTTATTTTAAATTTAATAGGACATACATGCATTTATAATTTGTTTTGTGAAAATGTTTTTGAGATTGTTTAAAATATTACATAAATTACTTACCCATACTAATAATGACATAGAATAAAGTACAAATTGTACAGTAAATATTTTTAATTAAATGCATTTTTCATTTGTTTGTCTTTTTTTAAATAAATGCAAATATTTCTTAGGAAAAAAATATCTCCTTTTTATTTATAAGACATTTGTATTTACTTTAATTAATTTGCGGCACAAAAGTATAAGTACGTTTAGAATTCATTAGAAAATATATCCACAGTCTGTAAGTAGAGTTAAAACAAAATAAAAATCATTATTTGTTACATATTTAAAACAAAGTAAAATAATTTATTTTATATAAAAGTTAAAATCATTGTCAAGGTTACAATTTATTATATACAAATAATATAAACATTTTTTTGTGATTTCTCATCATTTTCTTTCAGCGGTTTTTGGTATTTAATGAGATTTTTTTTTCATACCAAACTTTTTTTGGTGTAAATTAGAGGTTTTATTTTAATACGATTTTCATAGGCAACATTTTATTAATAGCTCGCACGTAATTTTCACTTGATTTTTATGTTTCATACGTCCTGCGTTAATTTTTGGTTTAAATATATGTATGTATATGTATATTGTTGCAGTCAAAAGTAAAGGTATGTTGAACGTGTATTTTGAATTAATGTCTATGTATGGTTAAGTGTTCCAAGTGTTTATTTTATTGCCTTGTCTTCATGTGTGTTAAACACATGTGGTTCTTTGGCATTGTGTGCATGTGTAAAAAAAATCAACAATCCCTGTTGGAAATTACACGTAGTGTATGAATGATAAGGCAATATGCAAATGATGGTGAAATGATTATTATTAGGTTTGTTTTTCTACAATCATGATAAAACTAGCCAAATACAAAACTATAGCAATTTAGTTGAAGACAACTATTCCATTTGGGTTATTGTTGGTATGTGCGTGTGTTTAAGCCACATATTGCTATCCTGCATTGGTTTATGTATGTCAGACATGTAATAGACGCATTTTGTATGTATAAGTATTGATCTTTTACCGCTTTTAGTCGTTGTTTTTTTGCTACAACTATAAATAATTTGTGCCAAACATGTGTGTATTGATTTTTATGGAGATTTTTACAGATACTGTATAGTTCCAGGTAATATTTTTATAAATGTGTCAATAAACATTGACATGCAATTAATCTGATAAAAAAGCAATCGATTTTACAGGGAATGTTTGTTCGTTTATTTACAGTTTTTTCAGTTGATTTTGTTTTTGAAAAAGAAGAAACATTTACATGTACAATAATGGGTTAAACACATATTTTTAATTGACCTTGTGGAGATATTTTTACTATCGATTTAAAACTATAGCAACGGTGTTCAATAAAGTATACAAAACCTTTCTGGTGAATAATTTTTCAGATCACACTATGGATCTAAAGAAAATATTTACTACAAATAAGATTTTATAATACCAAAATTCTGACAAGAACCTATCATAGCACTTTGATGCCAAGTTTTTTAGGAAAAAATTTCTTAAAAAATTGATTATAAAATTAATAACTAGTTTTCATATTTAATATGGATTTTAACAATATATTGTCATAGAGTAATCAACTGTTAACATTTGTTATTTGTTAATTTTCTTCCACCTCTATTTAATTCCAAGTAATTCAAATTAAAACCAAATTAAATTTATAGCTTTTCACTATAACAACACATGAAATCAATTATCTAATTGATTTGCCACAATGTTGATGAACAAACAAAAAAGGTAAAAAAGCACTAAAGAAAACATATAAAAAATATATTGTAGCGTAAAGTACCTACATTTCGCAAGCACACCTTGTTGTATGAAAAAAAAAGAAAAATATAAATAGAAATAAAATTGAAAAACAGTATTTGATTTATTAGGAAAGTAAATAAACAAAAAAAGCTTAAGGCATAAATAAATATTTATACGGAAAAGAATTCATGAAAGGAAATTTTAATTGAAAATGTATTAATCCCTACATACTGCTGCATATAGTAGCGGAAGTTAAATTAGAAAACTACTTACAATTGTAAAGAAATATTTAAAAATAACAAGAGAAATAAAAATACGAACTAAATAATAACTTTTAGTTTTTATCTACTTATAACCCACATTTGTCATTCACTTTGTTTTATACTTATGTATATAAGTTCGTTATGTCTCAGTAATTTTCAAAGTAGTCTAAGTCAGTTATTTGTATTTTACCCAAGAATTTTTTCTCTTTTTTAAAAACATTAATATTCTAAGTTATAGCAACATAAATTTGAATAAAAATTAACCATTTAAAGCCAGTATTCCATAAAAAATTAAAAACGTATAAAACTTGATTTAGAACACTGTTATAATAACTGGCAAATAAAACTTAGAACAACTAACTACACTCCCTATAGTTTCATACTACTATATACATAGTGCAAGGACAACACAACAGAAATCTAATTTTTTTGTTATGCTTTTTTATTTCTATCTTAGTATCTTAGCCCGGCAGCCATAAGTAATTAGAAAATTTACCTAAGGACTTAGTTGAAAGAAAATAAAAGAGAAATAAATATAGAAGGAAAAATTACAGCACACTAAATAGAATCTAAAAGAACAGCACTTACTACAGGATAATGGAGAGAAAAACTCCAATAAAAAATTAAAACAGTATAAAACAAAAGCAAAACAACAGGACTTTAACTATAAGGATGATAAAAAAGTAAAACTAACAGTTGATATATAAGAATACAATTTTATATAGCAGAGTACTAGATATGTATACACATCTTTACTTTAACTCATCTTTACATCTTTACTTTAACTCTAAAATCATAAAACAGCGTCACTGCTTGGAAGCAGCAAACGGTAAGCGTTAAATCGACACATATTTATGCCTACACCTACAAAGAGATGAATAAATAGAAATAAAAAGAAAATCAAATGAAATTTAGTTTTTATTCTACATTTTAGTCGTAATTCTACTCTACTGGTATAAAAATAATATTATTTGTAGGATTAAAGTTTTTAAGCCTTAATATAAAGTTAATTTTTAGAAATTTCTTCTTCATGATGCTTTTGACCGAACGACTGAACAACTGGTTGCCTGCTAAAGAAAATGTAAAAAAAATGCAAAAGAAAGGAAAAAATGAAAAAAAACAATCGGTGTTTTAAAAGTGCTACTACAATAACAGCAACAACAAAATACTTATATTCTATAATATTTTCTATTCAACCAAGTAGTTATAGTTGTTGTAAACTGAAGCACCCAGAAGTAGAGAACAAAAAACGCAAAATGCATCTATAAAGTTATTCAAGTACTTTGTCGATACAAATGAAAAGATAAAAGTGCAACTGTATATATTAATTTATATTCACTCTTTTGAAGTTAGCTAAATGATTAATATGGAATTCGTTTATATATGGGCAATTTCATGACAGGTGACCCAACTCAAAAAATCGATTTTGATGAAATTTGCACCAAGGTTAGTACTATTGGATAGTAGGCCAGACACAAATTCTTAGCTCTTTCGGTCGAAAACTGCCGGACTTAGAGGGAGACAAATTTTGGAAACAATGAAGAAATAGCTATCTGAAACTTTACAATTTTTCTAGGGCCAATGGGTGAAAATTTACAAGCATTTGAATAAAGCAGTGTATGACCAAAATGACCAACTTTGACCCCTTCTAAGTCACAAATTTCATACAAATGGATTTTTTGAGTTGGGTCACTTGACACAAAATTGCCCATAAACATTTTCAAAATAGATTTCAGCAAAAAGTATATCTTTTGTGTTGACTGGAAAAAATGGGTTAAACCTTTCACGCATATGAGACCTGGTATCTCAAAGTCCTTTATTGGAATTTGACAGCACTGCGGTTGATTTTGGTTGAAATCGGGCAAGCGCCTTCAGATAATAACATGAACGTCCGTAGGTTAGCTATACAAATCAGTATCACGATGAAGTTCGGCACAAAGACCTGCCATATAAACACAAATATAATTTTATAAGTATCGGTCCATATTTGACCTAACAGCCATATCAAGCCTCTTTCAGAAAATCAGATTTTCATCAATAAAAGCTTTATTATAAAAACAAACTCGTAACTGGTGTACAGTACCATATGGTCGACTAGGCTCTGCTATACTTTCTTACTTATTTTTTAATATTTAATTATAAATTAATTTAAAAAATAAAATTTTTTGTTATAAATAAAACATCTCTTTTTCACTCTCAAAATTTATAAACAAAAATTCCTGTTGGCATGAGTACGTATGATTAATATGCAAATATTTGACCTAATTCAATATTGTACATACGTATAGGTGGGATACTATAAAATGTCTAATGATATTTTCTCACTATACATTTTTACTTATAATAAAACCACAATTTTTTGTGCTATATTTCATGAGAATAGGTCCTTTCTACATATGGATGGTATTTCTGATATAATTCAGAGTATATATTTTACGAAACCATTTATTTATGAAAAAAAAAAAAAATAATAATAAAATAAAAAAATAATTTTAGTAGTTTTATTCAAAACAATTGATTTTAATTGACTAATTGTTTTTAAATAAAAATTTCTTTTATATAATTAATTCGCAAACAGTTACTATAATCTGAAGGTTGAACAAAGATCGAGCTAGAAAAATTTTAAACAATCAAATAAATTTTAACTATATATCCATGATAATGTCATATTACTTAGTTATACAAGATAGTATTGTAAAGTTTCTTTGCTATATTTCTTCACAAAAATATTCCAAGAATATCTTGTATTTGCTGGTAGATTGCTGTTTTTATCAATAAATTTTATGCAATTACTTTTCTATACGAATGATTTTTTTGTTATTATTTTTGGTCTGTAGACGAAAATAAATTATTTATATTTGTATGTATGTATTAGTACATACTTATTTGGGGTATAAATAGGTTTGTCTGTAGAGAAATTAACTATTTGCTGATTACATTAATAATGTTATACAGTTCAATTTCATATCTTGAATTTAAATGATGTTTTTATAATTTTTCATGAGAACCAAAAACGTGTTTAGATAACTCGTGCTGAATTTTTTGCTCATAGATTCTATAA